TATACTGAACTGATTTTATTTTAGCATAGAGTTGTCACTAATTCAAGTGAACATGTCCACAAAGTATGCATATTCTACATGGTGAAATGATTGAGTTCTTTCATAAAACCTGTATGATGAAACACATCTCTGCATATGATGGTTTTAGTATGTGTGCACTTAAATTGTTTATACTGTACAGGTCCACATGACTTTTAAAATATGTGTTAGCTCTACTTCTACCAGTAATAAATAAGGTGTGTACATATATATATATAAAGGAGTTTACTCAGATTGATTTCTTTTGCTTTGGTAACTAGTACACCACCTTTGCTAAGTCAAATTCTGATATAAGTATCTACAAAGTGGAATTTCATTTGTGTATATGATAATCATCACATACATATTGATTTGAGGAAATACCGAATCATGTTCCTGCCACTATATAAAGTAAATGTTGAACTAAGAAAGATGCAATGAACATTGGCTGATTCCAATCTCTGCATGCCATGGATAGTTAGGGACTAAGAATATAAGTTCTCTACATATTATACATGTTAGATGCAGTACATGTGTGCAGTGTATGGACTAACATTACCGCTGCACATAGGATCAAATAACTCCAAAACATAGGCGCAGAATGAACATGTAAATTTTTCCCTGAACCTGAAATTGGTCATGCTGAAATTAACCCATGTGTTATTTTTAATATGTGTGAACTTTGCTGTTTCAAGACTTAAATTAGAATGTGTATATAAAAAATGTGTGTTGATCTCATTTCTGTATAAGGAAAGTAGTAACTCTGATTCACACAAGTTAATTTCTACTTCTGCATGATATGAATATTAAATTAAGAAATTGAGTATACAGTTTCTACGTAAATGAAGTGCTGCTAAACTAAATTCTGATATAAGGAGAATTACATCCTACTTATAATGATTTATGTGGAAACTCAGAACCAGTAAAATATTTGTAAAACTTTGCAAATAGTTTAAGTGTTGAGCTTAAATGTGTAGCGATATAAGTACTCACTATGTTTCTGTATAAAGAAAGGGTGGAATTAGTTGAATATATATAAAAATGTAGTTGTGATTTCTTCTCTGCATGCAATAGGAAATTATAATCAACTATAATAAATGATTGCTTCTAAACTATATAGTGATTTAAGTGATTATTTCTATAACATATACAGATTTCACGTGGCTTAAGTATTAAATTAGACTCTATTGCAAAATCTGTAGAACTACTTGTCTTTATTTTCTGAATATAGTATGACTGTTATACATGAGGTTCATGAACCAATTAAGAAATCATCAAATAGGTGTAGCTGATAAATCGTAACCAAAGAAGATATAACTACTGATTCCCTAGTGCAGAATATGGTGACTGGTGAGTAGTGAGTAGACACTAATTCTAAAAGCAAAGATTGACTGGGGAAGGACTAATTAAAAGGGGTCAAATGGATGAAAATTGAGGATTCAGTAACCTAGTAACAGATAACAGGACAATAGAACCGTAAAATAGGTAATGACCAAAGGTTACCTACCAACTAAATCATTGGGTTGAGAAATAATAAATTTGGCATAGAACAAGTCACTTTGTATCCTATTGCATTATGTATACTATACCTCACTGCCTAGTTATTTCTAATACAAAAGAATGAGTTATTTAGTATTTTACTACTCTCTGCATGCTGGAAATAAAAAGAATGGGCTATTTGGCATTTCATTGTACTCTGCATATTGCACCTTGCTAGACAGTCATACAGAATATAATTGTGAATGAGTTGTGTATGCAATATTCCTTTCTTTATTTTGACCGGGTCACATCGCTAACAAACCCTTGTCAATCCTTACGTGAACACTCGTTACCAAGATTGTGGTAATTCTATTCCTAAATGAGATGCCTTTGGCATGTATTGTCGATAAATTGGTGTATATTTTAATGTGCTTTGATGTGAAGTAGGGAATAAAGTCCTCCAACTACCTCTGACATTGAAAGGTTATGACGATGTTTCAAGTGATTGGGACCCATGCATTGCATCGTGTGACTAAATAAAGATAAAACTTTATAAGAAACTTGTATCATGCATCATCCTGCATATGTAATTGTGTTATATTATCCTATGATGAATTATTGAGATTAAGTAAGTAGGATGATTGTGAATGTATTCCTTGAATTGTTGTACGGTTTGATTTGTTTTAATTGTGTCTATGGACTCACCCTCTTGCATTTTGTGCCCTTTTTCCTTGTGTGTGTGGGCAGATGAACTGAGACTTAATTAAGGTGTGAATCCTACTATTAGCAAAGGACACATGGTTCTACAATCCAATCTCGCTACGGTGTGCCTTTTGTGTGTTGATGATCTTGGGTCCAACTTGTTAAGTCATCCTCTAAGGCACATAGTCGAACTTCTCGGAGCGATGTACTGCCTCTTTTTTATTTTCTTATGATTGTCATCTTTGTATAAATATAGGATGGGAACAACTCTTAGGACTAAATAGAATTATTAATTATTTTGAGATATGCCTTGTGTTCCATAGATTGTATCTGCACCGAAACACAGATTATTTCATATTAAATGATTATGCAAAAATATTAAGATGTTTTATTAAGAAAAGGAAAACATGTTATGCACATTAACTCTCTTATCCACCGCATATAATTTATTTACCCAAGCACGCATAGAGGCTTTATATGCTACCTCGTGCAAGAAGGTGTGAGGCACCTAAATGCAGAGGTGTCAATTTGGCCCCAAACCCACAAGTCCCCTCATACAACCCAGTCTCAGTTTTTTTAAGCCCCATATATAATGGGCATATCCTGACCCTAAGTCCTAATATATAAACAAAATGTTGGCTAGGGTTAGGGTCAAAGGTAAGTTAGCCCACAGTTTTTTAAAAGTAATTAATAAATATTATACTATTTTTTAAATAAAAGGCACATGTGTTATTTATCATTGTTATTAATATTTTATTTAAAAATATATTTTAAATATAAAAAATATATTTTAAAAATAAAAAATTCTATCAATCTAAGATCAACCAAAATTTAAAATTATAAATATTTATTAATATTTGCTAAGTTTACAAGTTACTTTTTTGTATCAATAAATATTGCAATATTAAGTATTATTTGTTTATAATTTTTATGATGAGAATATTGTATTTGTTTTTTTAACATATTAAATTTTATTTAAATAAATTATTTCAAGCATTTTCATAATATATGACTTAACAAATTTAGCTATTTTAATTTTTTTTATTGTTAGTTTTGTATTTTTATTGACTTTAAAAATATTTATTGAACGTGTGACCTTAAAATAATTTTATAAATAAATAAATAAACACATTTTTTATAGAATAATTAATAAATATTTTTTAATAAAAAAACACATGTGTTTGTTTATTATTTTTATTAAATTATTTTATTTAAATTATATTTTAAATATAAAAATGTATTTTAAAAAATATTTTTTTTATCAATTCTATCTAATAAAATTATTTTACTTTAAAAATAATTATATTAAATTAAGATAAGTCAAATTTTAAAATTTTAAACATTTATTAATTTTTGCTAAGTTCATAATTACTTTTCTGCATTCATGAATTTGGTAATATTAAGTATCACATGTCTATAACTTTCACGATGATAATATTATATTTATATTCTTTAACACATTAAATTTTATTTAAATAAATTATTTCGAACATTTTGATAATTTGATAACAAATGACTTAATAAATTTAAATAATATTATTTTTTGTGATTAACTTTGTATCTCTATTGTGACTTTAAAAATATTTATTGAATATGTGATATTCTTAAGATAATTTTATAAAAAATAATTAAATATAATATAATAGTATAAAATGATTAAAACATGACAAATTTTATGATTAATAGTTAAATAAAATTATAAAATAATATGTTAAGAAATTTTATAATTACTAATTTTTTTAAAAATTAGTTAGTCTACGAGTTAGCCTTAACCTGTTTAATTCCATGAACTATTTCATATTGTGAGCTTTTTGACTCAATGAGCCTTTTGACCCTAACTCATATGAGTTATGACTAAATTAATTAGGACGGTCCCGTTGACCCTTCTATCTAGATGGGCTATTGAGGTTTATGTTAGTAGTGTTACTCTTTCTCTTCCCTTTCTCTATTACTCATATTGCTTAAATGTAGTCATTCTCTTTTTTATATCAGTGTCAGAAGTTCTAAATTTACGTTTATGAAGTGAAGAAAATAATGTCTTTTTTAAATAAAGTAGTAAGATTTGCATAGTAGTAGAAGGTGACATTGGAAGAATGAAAATGAGGAATGAGGGTAAAAGGATTAGAAAGTGAGAATGAAAATTGTAAATAAATAATTGCTAAAGTTTAAGAGAAAAAGAAAAAAAAAAGAGATAAAAATGTTTAAAGATTTTTTTACAATATCAATCATTAAATAATAAAATATTAAAAATAATAAGAATAATATAATAATGATGAGCTGAACTTTTGTGATGTAACTCATTATTTATTAAAATTCAACTAATACTAAAAATTGATTAATTTTTTTTAAAATTTAAGTTAAAAAAAAATATCTATATATTTATGTGTGTAAGAGAAAGAATACTATGAAAATTACTTAAATATAATAATAAAAATAAAATTTTAAGAGAGATTTATTTTGGTATACCTCACTGTATAAAAAAGTATGTATATATCAACTATAAAAAAGAAAAAAAGTGTAATAATAATTTTTTACTGTTTTTAAAATATTAAAATGATATAAATTAAAAATGATTTTGAAATTGATTTAATTATTTATAAATATATTTTTATATTTTAATATAATTTAATTATTTCTTTACATTATTTTATTTTGTTGTATAAGATTTTTTTTTATTTTAATTCATTTAAACATAAATATATTTTATTTTATTTTTTTATTTCTTTTCTTTCTTTCTATGTTAAATGAAACTTTTTCCCTCTCTGTGTGTATATATTTTCATTTTGCCCCATTTAAAACCTGCAAGCTTAAACTCAAATACCTAGGTTTTAAAATGACTCGGATTGCCTTTGGAAGGAACAATTTCGTGCGAACCCGAAATTGAGTTGCGACTCCTTCTTCCCTGTTCAAGGTCGAGTTCCATGCTCTGTTTTCGATCTCCAGCAGCTTGTGTGTGCGATCTGGTCTGCTGCTGAGCCAGCAGTGTGCGACTTTTGTTGTGCTTCTGTTCTCACATCTTCTGTGCTCTGATCTATTCTGAGTTGAACGGAAATGGCTTCAAAAGCACGTGGTATGCTGTTGGTCAAGGCATGCATATTTACTATTTAGCGCTGGTGTTTAAACATTTAGCCTTGCAAGCTAGATGATTTGTATTTTGACTATGAGTTATTAGTGTTAGGTTATTTAGGTTATTTGCATATTTACTTTTTCAGGACCAACTCCTTCTTATAAGACATTCTTTAAAATTTTTTAGAAAGGTCTTAGTGGTTGTTTTATAAAACATTTATTTTGTTTTTATATTTTTCTTAAATTTAAAGTTGGTGGAATTTTAAATTATTATCGACTATGGTAAACATTGATAGTGTGTGTTTAGACTCATGTTTAAATGATTGCAGTTCTATATTTATTTCAACACTACTAAGTGTAACTTCTGTCTTGGAATTATGTTTATAAGTTTTTCAATGTGATTGTAACAACACATAGTGGTGTTTGGTATAACAATATTCATGTTATAAATGCTTTTTTAAACATTAAACATCAATTAACTTATTTTTATTGGTTTGTGTAATTTAGTTAAATGTGCCGTATGAAAGATATTAGAAAGAGTAATAGAGAGTTCTTTTCTCTTAATTTAGAAGTTTGGTGTCAAGTTGAGTACCAACCCTTCACTTAAGTAGCTGGGAGAATTAGATTACTTCTTGGATATTGATGTCAAGCATCTAGTGGATGGTTCCCTACTATTACCCTGAACCAAATGTATTAGCGATTTACTTGACAAGGCTCACATGATTGAGGCTATGGTCATTTCTACTACTATGACGGTGAGTGCAAGCTTTGCAAGTGTTGGATTGGTTACACAGAAAATCTTTCTTCACAAGGCTTTGCTATATGCTACCCTCACTAGTTGTAAAATTAGTTATGTTGTTACCAAGGGTTTACTATATGCTACCTTCTATGCAAGGAAGTTTGCATAGGGTTTTGATGTGTGCGTTTGCTTGTTCATTTGCAACTTCGCATGGCGGCTCTGAATACTGTGATAGCAATTCACATGGTGGTCTTGAATGATGAGGGAGACTAGTGATGACATAGATTTGGTGGGGTTTTGAATTTCTAGGGTGCTGATGGTGAAATGTTGTGAATGATGGAGGGATGGTGATGACAGATCTAATGGAGTTTTGAATTTTGGGGTGTTGTCATGGCATCAATGGTGGCAGAGGTGTGCTTGGGGTGACTTTGGTGTTGTTGAACAATGGTTTTGATGGTAATATTGGTGCACGGTGGTTTTGGCGGTGGTGGTGGAAAGAGCATTATTCGATGTAATCTACTCAAAGATCTTTGCATTTGACCAACACGTCACTTGAAGAATTTGAGATCGTAGTCAGACAGAAGCGGTATAGGATGCTCATGGAGATGATTACCTTTCGATTGGGTGATTCTTGTATTGTGTGACAATCTCAGTATTGTTGCTACGGTAGTGTTTGTTAACCCTCACTAGTGGTTAGATAAAATTAGTTAATTAGATGAGTTAGTTTGAATAAGGCATGTTACCTATATAAATAATAGGACAAATTAAAGAGGAATATCATGTGATTTGTGAGAGGAAATTAGGGTCTTTTGACATTGGGAGGTGCAGACCCCCGTTGAATGAGAAACTGTCATTCCATTCAATTCAATTGGAATGCCCTAAATCTGACATGTCTCTGGAAATGAGTAATATGAAGCTCAAAATTATGGATTTGTTGAATACTCCCAAATAAAAGGGAATTGGTCTATGTTTGATTCAGTAACAAATGAATATGAATTTCTAATACTAAATTTCTATCAATTAATATCAGAGCTCCAATCTTGGAACTATGGGTATCAAATATTGAAGATGAAGAACATGCTTATTGGTGACTGATCAATGTAGAGCAGCATCTTGAGGCCACTGGAATGCCAAAAGAGGAGAAGCTATCTTAGGCTGCAACGACTTTGAGAGGTGCTGCTCTCAATTGCTAGCTTTTCTGGAAACAAAGTAATCAAAAGGAAAATTGGTGGACCTTTGTGAAGGCAGTGCTCAAGAGTTTTCAAACTGAATATGATCTAGAAGCTTGCTGACCAAAAACAAATGCGGAGAAATATGCAACTGTCTAAGAAAATGAATAAAAATCATGGAAACTAGAAATCTTGGAACCAAAGACAAACAAAGAGGAGAAAATTCAAAGGGAAGAAGTTCACATTTTGGATTCAGGACCAAAAATGGAAGAGCTCAATGGATTGGGACAAGTAGTTTGGTCTTGTGAGGTTTGAAAACAAGCTTTCTTTTGTGGAAGGGCCATCTTTTTGAGTTGTGAGATGCGGCAGCATCATTTGGGTAATAAATAAATAAATGATGACAATGAACTATGATAGAAACACATGTAGAGGCAATGATGCTCTGTTTCAAGGCTAAAAATATTAAATAAAGCAAAGCATTTAAGGAAATTGGTTGCAAGCACTTGTTTGTGTTTGACTCAGAAGAGCTTGAGACCATAGCGCGTGATAGCAGTGGTGTGTGGTGGAGCAGCCTTTGGCTGCTACAGATCTGTCATAGCGGAGTGTTTTTTCTGTTGCCACCATTACAGCTGCATTTGCAGCCCAAAACGTGGCTTTTCATGGCACAACGGCGCCACCACAGGCAAAGATATTAACTTTCCTTTTTTACCCTCAAAGCAAAGGAATTTTAGGGTTTTTTTAAGGTAAAAAAGACTTTTAATCTTTTAAAAATTAGCTGATTTTTCCTTTTTGCCCTTATGATGACTAAGTCTTTAGGTTTTTTAAGGGCAAAATAGTCTTCTCAGTTTTCGGACCTAACCTCAGTTTTCCCTGCGTTTTCTTCTTCCTTTCTCTCTTTGACACCCCTTTCTCTCATCTCTATTGCTGTTCTGCTTTGCAACTGGAGACACATGATGAAACCCCACTTTTTCTACATTGTTTTTCTTCTCCCCTTCTCTGTTCTACACTCCCTCCTCTCATCTTTGTCTCTGTTCTGCTTTGCGACAATCTCCAATCTAGCAGTCACTCATCTTGGATGACTTATTTGGCAAAATCCACTTACTTTCTTCTCTCTATTCTATGATTCTACAGTCCTGCCTCTATTATGTTCTCCTGAAAAATCCATTTTATTTCTTTTCTGTCTTTTGTTGATAATTATTCATATGCTATTTATGCATATTTGTTTAGCATTATATACATGATTATATGCATATGTATATATTTTATATCCATATAAAAAACTTTAAAATAGTGGTAATCCTGCTATGCACTATCCTGCTATAGCGTTTTGTGGGTCGTCTGCTATGAGCTGCCATTTGAGATTAACAACTATGCTTGAGACTAGTTTGTGACTTTAGTAGTGGGGTTGGCTTAATGGTAATGCTTTAAACTAGTGGAACCCCAATACAAATTTGTTTTGCAGCTGCCATAGTTATTCACCTTGAGGACAAGGTGAGTGTTTAAGTGGGGAGTACTGTTAGTTATCCCCCATTAGTAGTTAGTTAAAATAAGTTACCTAGTTACCCTTTAGTTACTTACATTAATAAGTTAGTTAGGTGTGTTTGTTTGAATAGGGCATGTTGCCTATAAATAAGAGGGGAGATTAAGAGGAATATCAAGTGATTTGTGAGAGGAAATTAGGGTCTTTTGGCTTTGGGAGGTGCAGACCTTCAAAGTTCTGTATTGTGTGTATTATGTTCTGTGAATTATAGAGTTCTTTACCTGTGTTTTCTAATAAAGATACCTAGTTTCTATCACAAAGAATCCAGTGTTGTACTCCAAACACAGGGTATGAAGCTAAATATTTTATTTGTTTGAGAAATAATTATCCTGAAAGCCATTTATATAGTCTGTCCCATCAGCAGCAGATCAATATACTGACTTTTTGACAAAGGCTCTTTCAACCAGTGTTGTTAAATGTCAGTTATGGCGGCGCCATGGCGGAATGGTGTGGCGGAAATGACAGAGGCCGTTACGAAGATTGCGTGACGTGGCGGTGCCATGAGCATGGCGGTAACGGCAGGCCATGGCGAAAATCGTTAGAAATGGCGGTTTTTTTTTTGAAAATATGGTTTTTCTGCACTTTTGGGCCAGATCCAACCCAACCCAGTTCAGAACCCAACCCTAAATACAGGTTTTTTTCCCTCTCTTCTCCTTACGATCTCACTCTCCCTCTCTTTGAAATCACACTCTCTCTTTCTGCAATCTCACTCTCCTCTCTGGTCATCTCTTTTCTCTCTGCCCTCCATCAAGACTTCGCTCTCTCTTTGCGACATCTCTCTCTGCTTTCTTTGAGATCTTTTTTTCTCTTGGGTTCCTTGGGTTTTTGTTTTGGTGCATTTGGGTCTCTATTTCTGGCGACTGCAGCTGCAGCTCCATTTTGGTCCTGCTGCTGTGTGATGCTATGCCGCTGCTGTTCCCTAGATTCTTTCGGTTTTTATGTGGTTGGGGTTGTTTTTGCTTGTCAATTTAAGTTGCTAAACTTACGGCTTTATCTTTTATTCTTTTTTAAGGGTAAAAAAGACTTTTTATCTTTTAAAAATAAACTGAATTTTCTTTTTTACCCTTAAAATGACACTGTTTTAAATTTTTTTAAAAGGGTAAAAGAGTCTTCTCATTAAAATATATTATCTAACTTTTCTTTTTCCTTCTTCCCATCTCTCATCTTCATCTTTGCTCTGTTTTAGTGGGCATCTGGCTTTATTTAGCTTCTCTCATCTTCATATTTATACTGTTTTACATCCCCTTTCCGATCCTACTTAGAATTTCGATTTTGATTACCATACTTTACATCACAAAATCAAGAAAATATTATTCAAAGTCTTGATTCTCTCATTTTCCTCTCTCAATACGTTTAATCCAAATAATATCAACCACTAGGAACTATGAGCATGAATCTGTTTGACTCTCAAGAAACATAAAAAAATCTTACTTCACTTTTACTATGGTCTATGGGTGGTGTAATTGTTGCAAAAATTTATGTTGAGAAAATGCTTTTTAAAAGAAGGATTAGAAGGATTGACAATGATAATTTGGGCCATAAATGAAGAATTTGATAGGTAGACATTAGTTGGTTAGATAAATAGTTAGGGATATAATTAGTTAATTAGAGAGTTAGTTGATAATTGCATATTTTGTATTGAATTATATTTTGGATTGTAGGTTATGCTACATATATTTTGAGTTAATTATTTTCTATCATTTTCTGTGATCTGTAGTATTTTTTTATATATTTTATTATATCCGCCATAACCCGCCATGGCGGTCGCCACAACTTTATGGCAGTTTTTTTGGTTTCCACCATGAGCCACCATCAGCCATTGATAACATTGCTTTCAACAAAGTTTTTTCAGCATGAAGGCAAAGAAACATAAGGGGTTTGATAAGTAAGTAGGGGAAACATTAGAATATGTTAGGGCAGAATTGTAACTCAGTTTTACACTGATTCTCATCATAGAATCCACTGTACACTAACACTGCAGGTGTTAGTTTTCTCTTAGAATGTAAGATTGCTGAGTGTTGGAAAACTTTATAAATAGTACCTGCAATTCACAAGCTGTATTCAATATTTTCCCTTCAATAACATCAAATTTATCAAAAAAAATTTCTCACAATTTGCTTGCATTATCTCACTTTTCAAACTTTAATAAATAGGCTTGAATTTGAGAGGCTGAAGGTTTCCTTGGTATTTCATATCTTCAACACTGACAGAAGCTTTAAAGTTGATGTACCAAGATGTTTGTTAAAAGCAATGGAAGAAGCGACTTCAGAAAAAAATAAATAATGATAAACAATTTATGCCCTTTGACAAGTGTATGTTATTAAAATTAACCCCAGAATTCTTAAATGTGTTCTTATCAAATGCATTTCTCTGTTTTCTTTTGACTTGAAAAAGGAACAATTACTGGCATTTTGGCTATATCTCTCTTGTAAAATATAATTGTTATAATATTCACAAAAAAAATTTAAAGAAGATTGTCATTACGAATGTTTTAATTAGACTGACTAAATTAGTTTGTCTTTGACCCAGATCTGAGGTGACTGCCTGAACAAGCTCAGAGTAGAAGTTTATGCTGGAGTATGATAAGTTATGATCCTTCCTTATAATAATTTATTATGTGAATCTCCCTTCTTTTTCAGCTTTTACATGCCCTTTCATTTCATTGGTGGCTATTATTTATTTATATTTTTGTTAATTTCACTTGTAGTTGTTACATGCTGTGCTTCCCCATTTTTATGACATGTCAAATGTCTCAAGATTCAAGAAGTTTGATTGCATCTGATAAATATGAAAGAGTAGGACCTGATTATTTTGGCTATTATTCTTCTGAAGTATTAAATCTCTTGTCGCAAGATGAGGGTGATTTTACTGTTTCTACCCAAACATCTGAGGAGCTACCTCAAAATAAATATGGAGAGGGAATAAATAAGAATTTGGTTAATCACAGTGATAATTGTTCTGGTCCACTGTATAGTAATGGTGTTGGAGATGGACTTTCGGACTTCAGAAAGGACAGATTAAGATCACTGCTCAGACAGAGTGTCATTGCCCTTTCATCAGAAGTCGATGAGGTATATTAAGCATCATGCCCTGTCCTGGTTATTACTGTGTGTTGGAGCTAATGGCTCAACTTGGTAACTACATTTTTTCATTAATAAAATAGAACTCTTGGGTTTGACTTGTGTTCATTTCAGCAGTCTTATTGATATGGTATTCCTATTGATCTTGTTTCTGTGGTTTGTTCCCATTTTATCATTCATTAAGAGGGCCCTTTTTATAAGATTTATAGTATACAATTGTTAATGTGCAAATCAAATGATATTGTTGTCTCAATTGGCGCCAATCCCAATCTTTAAGATTGGGATGTGACGATGAAGGTTCAATCCTCCTCCAGGTGACTTATCCCCCTTTCTATATAGTTCCCTTCACCTCCAAATACCAAAAAATTACATTATGTTGAGGAGGATTTAGTTTATGAAAATCTTAATGTGAATATTTGATTAATTTTCTATTAAATATATTATGGCTTCCATTTCAAAATGGATGCATGTGTTAGCCTGCTTCTAATGGTACCTGATATGCTTTGCTGTTTTGAATATTTATTTATGAAATTTAGACATGTTACTGACCTAAGATAAAAGCAGGTGGTAGACCCGGTTTTTGCTACATCTCATTTGCAATCCAAGCTAAGAAGTAAAACACATTCCTTGAATCCTACGGAGATTGCATCTGATGATGAAGTGCAAATCCCTTGTAAACTGCTGAAGCTGTCCTCATCTTCACCTTCAGCCAGCTTTCTTGCGCAAACTAGAAATGTCAATCCCCAATGCAGTACGAAGGTATAGTTTTTATCACGGGTTTTATTTTTAATCCTATTCACTTTTCCGAAAGGCTTAATGTGTTTTAGTTGATGAAAAGATGACAAATTTTAGGTGCAAGTTGTGATTGTTTTGTGACCTGGTCTTTTATTAGAAGGAATAGGGAATTTCCCCTGAATACAGCTACAAATTTGCAGAACTTCAATTTCTGCACTGCCCAATGATCAGAGGCTCCAATTTCTTCTCAAATGTAAAGGTTTCATCCTATCCTCTCTTCTTTTCTTTTTATACATGTGATGTCCCTTATTGATTGTTACTAACTAATGCTTATCACATTAGTTTAGTTTGGTACAACCAATAAAGGGTGCCACATGTATAAATAGAATAGAAGAGATTGACGGAAAAAAAAAAAGAATAGAAGAGAGGAAAGGCAGGCGCCTATCTGGTCATTTGAGAAGTTGTAGTGTATTGGGAGATGCAGTCCCACAAAGTTCTGCAACCTTGTATCTGTATGATAGAAGTTGGTTTAGATATTGATGAAAGATTATCCTTATTGGTAGAAACTAGTACAAACCTGGTTATTGACAGCAGTCTAGGTGGGGACCTGGTCATGAAAGCAGATGGGGGAGGCGGTGGGCAAGTGCCATTAGGGTCATCATTAGTTGCAAAAGCCATGAGAAAATAGATGGATTGAAACTAAGCTCTTGATACCATAAAAGAATGTAGGGAAGGAAGAAAAGAATGATAAAAAAGAGAGAGAGAGAAGAAAAGAAACTCTATTAAGAGATTTTCAATATATTCTTGAGATTGTTTAGATTAGTTGCAAAGATATATATATATATATATATATATATATATATATATATATATATATATATATATATATATATATATATATATGGAGTTGAGTGGTAAGTGGTAACAGATTCTGTAACTAACTAATAAAAACAGAAAAACTGATACAAAACTAATACAACTAAAATACAAAACTAGCTAAACTAATACAACCGAGTTGTATACTCTAATAGTTATGTTACATGTGCTAAAATGTGCTTCGATCCATTTTTCTTATTTTTTAGGCAAGCGATGATCTACAATTTCTACTAGAGAATGATAGTGTGGAAGTTGAGGAGATGGTGAAGAAATATTCCAATGACCTATCTAAAACAGTAATATTCTCAAACTTCTGTGTTTAAAGCTTTGATCTTTATCTTTAATGTCTTATGTGTGATTCTTGTTCTTAAAGTAGTGAGATTGAAGCCAATACTTGATCTAATTGGTATTTAATGTTGACTTTTAGCTAGGGTATATGGAACAGCGATTAGAGTTGCTTCTTGATGCTATAATGTTGAAGTGCAGGTATTCTATTATACTTTATACTTTATACTTTTATGCCTATATTTACGGGAATAATGGCTGATTGTTATATGCTTTATTGGTTTAAATTGGTTGGCACTAATGCAATAAAACCATTAATTTATGTATGGCATATGTCTTCAACAAAATGCATTATTGGTTTGAAATCTCCAATTGCATAGATCCGCTTTGGCTATACTTTAGTCAATGTGGGATCTCAACACACTTTCTCATGCTTAGAATTGGAATTGGAGCATGAAAATTGTAAGACTAGTTTTTTTAGTGCAATAGAAAAGCCATGGGGCCAGGTAAATTACTCGATAAAGTCCATGGGCCTAGGTTGATTGTACTGAAAAAATTCAAGGGGCCAGGTTGATTTTATTTTTAAAGTCATCAATGGCCTAATATTGGATCTACAATAGGTTGTTAAATAATCTCCATTAGTAGTTACCAGTGTTGTTAAATGGCGGCCATGGCGGAATTTGGTGGCAGTTTTTGACCCCGCCGTTACAGCGTTACTGTTTTTTGGCGTTTTTCAATGGCGGCCATTACGCACATGGCAGTAATGGCAGAAAATGTAGAAAAATGGCTTTTTTGCTGGAAAATTTGAGTTGGGCCATTGATTGGACCTGCTCCAAAAAGAAAATCCATGAGCCCAAACCCTAAATCACATATTTTCTTCCTTTCTTCATCGCTGTTGTGCCGCTGTGGAGCGGCGGTCTGCCATGTGATGCTTGCTGTGAAGTATTTCTTCAGAGGTTAAGCCCTAATTGTAGTGTCTTGGTGTGGGTGTGCACTTTTGAAGTGTAATGGTGAAAGAGCAAAATTCCAATCTTGCCCTTGCTTTATGTATTTTAGGGTTTTTTAAGGGCAAAATAGACTTTTTCCACTTAAAATTTTTATCTTCTCTTCTCAAGCGGTAAATTTTCTGAAGGATAAAATATTTAGGGTTCTCTCTGCACTGTTTTTCTTCCTTTTTCTCTAAAGCCAACTTCTCCTTCATCTCCTTCACCATTTTCGCCAGAGAAGACATCCTTTCCGGCTATTTTCTGGCAACTGAGTGAAAGGCCGTGTTTTCTGACGTCCATTTTCTATTTTGTTTCTCTGAACTCTGTCCCTCTTTCTTAGTTTTTCCCTCCTATTTTTTTTTTTCAGTTCTGTTTTTCCCTTTCCCATTCTGTTTTACTCTCCCATTTTTTTCGTTTTTCCTTATTATTTTGTTTTCTTGATTCTATTTTTCTGTTTTCGCTTCCAGTTTCCTTCTCCATATTTATTTTAATTCTCTATTTTTCTGTTATAACTTCAGTTTTTTTTCAATATTGTAGAACCATTTTATTTTTTTTTCTCAAAACCTTCCTTCTTTTATATGTAGTTAGTTTTCTAGTTTTATATCACATTTTGCAATATATATATATATATATATATATATATATATATATATATATATATATATATATATATATATGACCGCCATTATTCCGCCATGGCATCCGCCATAATTTTATGGCAGTTTTTTTTTACTTTCCTCCATGACTCGTCATCCGCCATTGATAACATTAGTAGTTACTTAAAATACATTTCATAGTTACCCATAGTGAGTTACATTGGAGAGTTAATTTTGACTAAAGCATGTATGACAACAATTAAGTCTTGTTCCACTATGTGAGGTTAACTACATGGATCACACAATGGGGTTAAACTTGGTCAAAAATCAATTTTTTAAAAATATTATTAATCAAATTTTTTTTTTTAAAAATAATTTTAGTTTTTTTTGGGTTTCTGCTTTTTTTTACCAGACTAGAAGTCATGTGACTCTCGCAAATTATCTCTGCTGTTTTTGTTTTTTTTAAAAAAATTCTGACATCCATTTATAGGTCCATGACTCTTGCAGAGAAACAACAGCTACAAAGATTAATTCAGAAGCTACCAGCTGGAAATCTTGACCGTGTAGCAGAAATAATTTGTCGAAATAGGCAAGTAGAAGAACGAAGTTGCGACGAAATATTTGTTGATTTGGAAAAAGAGGTAGTATTCTAATGCCTTTTGTACAAGAATGGAAATAGGATAAATTTAGACCATACGATCATACATGAATAGTTAAGATTAAAAGCTATTTGAAGTCATGTGACTTTTTGATAAACTTACGTGATTCCAGTATTTCAATTTTAATCATTTATGGAAAAATCTACTGGTTGAGATTTATTTTCACATAAAAAGATTATTCTCATTTGATATGTTTCCTATATACGAGTCATGATTCAGTGACACCTATTAATACTTAGACACATGATTTAACTTTTCATAGAATGTAAGATATATTAATTCAATTGTTGAATAATCTTATATTATCTTCATGATCATGTACATTAAATTTTTCTTAATTTGAACATTTGTAAGTATATTAACTAAAATCTAATATTTACTTATATTCTAAAAACATATTATATATTAAAATAAACAAATGCAATAAAGTATATATTAATTTTGCTTTTGTATAAAATTTTATAAAGTTGATTTATTTTATAAGAACCTTCAAACTAACGGCTGAATGGATTAATCTCACATTCTATGAAAAGTTATTAAATGGTGTAAGTGTCAAAGTTTGACACCTAGCGTTAATGGATGATCATGACTCTGTGTACTCAAGTTAAAGTATTTAGTTATTGTGAAAATAAGAATAAAAAGTAGAGCATTAGATTTTATTTAAACCATCAAGATTAAAAGAAAAATATATTTTTAAGTGATCATGTGACTAACTATTAATCTTGACCATCCATGTATGATTGTGTGGTCCAAATTTAAAGTTCTTATAATCTTATAATAAGAATTGGTTTCTCTAGACATGCGCCTGATGTGTGTATAGTAAGAAAATAATTTCTATCTAGGATGATTAAAATCAAAAGCTTTTATGTCATATCATTGCTTAAGAAAGTCATGAAATTTTTAAAAGAACTCTAGTGAGTTTCTCAATCATTCATGAATAATATTTAAAGATCAATATATATGATAGACTCAATTAGAACCAAAGATTCCTAAATTCGAGAGAAGGAATCAAACTCTCGAGGGGATATTAGAAAGGAAGGATTCACAAAGATTTTCTTGTTATTTCTATTTGCTGTTCACCCCATTCACAAAGGATATCAGAGATCTAATGCCGCATGTCCACTTACAGAAATTAAGGATAAAGACAATAATTAAGAAAAATAAATAGATTAACATTGATAGTGTTTGAGCCATGCTGGCCTGCTCACTACTTGCTTGGGTCTGGTTCCTTGGTCCATTGTAGTATTCTTAGTAGTATCAGCACTTGGGCCTATGGTGTGATCGTTTGGGCTTGTATCATTGCCCTACACTTGTGGCCCTTGAGATCTAGCTGGAAGAGGAAAGGTTTGAACGTCCTGCTGGCCATGACAACGTTATAATAGCAACATGTGGCTTATACGCTACTAGACTGATGTGCTGGACCACTTTGAAAGGACCATAGTAATGGCGGGACGACTTTTGAGTTGATGCACTGAAAGTTGGCGATAGAGCTGGAGTCTAGGTAAACCCAATGACCCATAGCAAATGAAATATCAGAGCAATGTTTGTTAGCATTGGCCTTCATTCATTGTTGAACAAAGGTCAAATGTTGCTTTAAAGTATTCAAAAATTATTTCCTTTGGGTAAGATATTCATCCAATGAAGCAACTCTGGTACTGCCAGCCACCAGATATGACGGAACTGTAGGCAGAGGGTGACCATACAATGCCTGAAAAGGATTCATGGCAATGTAAGAATGAAAAGAAGTGTTGTACCAAAATTCTGCTAGATGGAGAAATTGGGTCCATCTCTGAGCTTCTTCACTCACAAAGCAGCGCAAGTATGCCTCTAAACTTCTATGAAGGACCTCTATTTGTCCATCACTTTGTGGATGATAAGCACTAGAATAAGAGTGTAGTGCCTTGAAATTGGAAAGCTTTCTAGAAATGACCAAGAGAAAGAGGATCTTTGTCGCTAACAATAGACTTAAGAAATCCATGAAGGCTATAAATCTTTGTAGAGAAGAGGAGAGTGAGGGTATGAGCTTCCTTGGTTAATCGATCCACTATCACCCAAATAAGGTAAGTGTGTGATAAAATCCATTCAGTCCTCCCATACTTGGTGTTGGAATAGGGAGTGGCTGGAGCAATCCTGCAAGAGCTTGTGTGAGTGTTTTGTTCTGTTGACAAATTTGGCATTGTTGGATAAACTCCTTAACATCTTTGCACATGGTAAGCAAGTAAAAGGAAGCTGCCAACCTGTTCATGGTAGCTTGGATCCCTGAATGTCCCTCCAAAGGCATTGAGTGGAATTTGTGTAGTAAGGAGGGTGGGAGTTCGGAAACTCTAGGAATAAAGAAGCGCTCTCCAAAATACAATAAACCATTATGCATGTTGAATTGGGTACTCGTGAGACTCAGTATTCCATTTTTGTATCTTTTAATTTCTGAGAGAAAGCATCTGCAACTCTGTTGGAGGAACTTGGTTTGTAATGTATCTCAAAATCAAAACTCAATATTTAGTCAACCACTATTGCTTAGGAGTTTGAATAGTCTGAGAGAATAAATTCCTGAGCTTTGATGATCAGTTTAAATGTGAAATTTATCCAACAAGTATTGATGCCATTTCTTGACTGACTCAGTGGTAACATACATATCTCGTACGTAGGTAGAAGAGGATTGCAGCCGGGAAGAAAGCTTCTTACTAAAAAAGGCTATGGGGTGAGATTTCCAATTGAAATGGAAGAGCAAATTTAAGCAGCCGTAGGACTGATATAGTAGCTATGGCAGTTTGTAACTTAACAAACGCAGTTGTTGCCTCTGCAGTCCATGTAAAAGCACCCTCCTTAAGCAAATCAGTTACTAGGCTGACAATAGTTGCATAATGTCGCACAAAGCAACAATAGTAGCCTGTTAGACCCAAAAAATCACAAAGGACAATAAGAGAATGCGGTCTGGCCACTCCAAAACGGCTTGAAGTTTTGAAGGATTGGTATGGGGTATGGACACCATTGGCCAAGATAACATGACCTAAGTAATCCACAAAATGTACACCAAAAACACACTTAGACAATTTAGCAGAAAATTGAAAAAAGGCAAGTAAACATAGAACTTGGTGTAGATGAATAAGGTGGTCCTCCAATGTCTTGCTATAGACAAAAATGTCATCAAAGAAAATGACCACAAACTTGGGTAAATAAGGCCTAAAATGGCCATTCATAGCAGCTGTGAAGGTAGGAGCCTTAGTCAAGCCAAAAGGCATGACTAAACTCAAATTGACCATCAATGGTACAAAATGCTGCTGTGTTCATCTCCTTGAGCAATAAAAATTTAATGGTAGCCTGAGCAAAGGTCAATTTTTGATAAAATAGTTGTGCCAAATAACTCATCGAAGAGACCATCAATAGTTGGAATAGGAAATCGATCCTTAATGGTTACAACGTTCAAGGCTTGATAGTCCACACAAAAGTGCTAAGAACCATCCTTTTCTTTGTCAACAATGCTGGAGATGAAAAAGGGCTGGTATTGGACCTAATGATGCCCTCAGCTAACACTTTGAAAATCATTTGGGTCATGGCTGTCTTTTTGGCAATGATGGTAGCGATAAGGACATATGTTAATGGATGAGACTGAGTGAATCAAATGTATGTGAGGATCATGGGCTCGTGCAGGAGGTAGGCCTTGTGGGACCTGAAACACATGTTGAAACTTGTCCAGTAATTGTTGGATGGCTGGATCAGAGCGGGGAGGAAGGGTTGGGGAATCAGAGGTAGTGGTAAGGACAAAACAAGTAGGAAGGAAATCAAGTGACAGAAGTATGTGAATGGCATAAAAGGAAGCTAATGAATGAATGGCCAAGGCACGACAAAGTTGGGATTGAGAAAAGAGAAGTGGTGTGGACTGTGGACTATCGGAAAGGGTGATGAGAGAATTCTTATATTGGAAAGTCATGGAGGGAACGGAAAAATAAAAAATAACAGTGCTCAATGAACCCAACCAAGCCATGCTGAATACAACATCAGTACCCTGAATTGGCAATAAATACATGGGAACCTCAAAATGCTGGTTGTGTTAACAAAGAGGAACCTGATCACCAAATCCCGCACACTTAAGTTGGTCACCATTACCCACCATTACTGAGAAAGAGGGGGTAGGTGAAATGGGAGCTCGTGGTATCAATAAGGACCGAAACAGAGTGGCCCAGAATTGAGCCCAAGAGCCTTAGTTTCTTGGATGTGGGCTCACTGCTTGTTGTTGAAGGATAAGTGTAAAAAGGTGGGTTCTGAGGTAGGCAAGATCTGGGTTGGCAGCGGTGGGGCCCCAAGATCAATAGGTGGCAGCATGGGGTCCACAACAGGGGGGGAGGGGTTGACTGTTCACTTTCTTCACTCAACAAGAGCAGGAATTGCTTAGAAGCACATTTGTGGCCCGGATGGAACTTCTCATCATAGTTAAAACAAAGCTTGTCAAGCTTGCATTAGTAGGGGTTAAACGTTTAATAGGAAAAGGGGCTGTAGGTGAAGGTTTAGGTAAAAGGGGACGAAGTGAGGGAGCAGAAGTCAGTCGTTGGGTATGGTTGGCAGCATCACAAACATTGACCTCTATGACTTCAGCCAATCCTATTGCTTGTGATAAATAGGAAGTTTGAAGAACAGCCAATTCCCGCTGAATATCAAGTTGTAGCCCCGAAATAAAGCTATTGAGAGCGTGTGTTTAGGGCACAGCGGAGTTATTCCAATTTATAGAGAAGATTAAATAATTACAAGATATACTGTTATTAAATTTACAAGATTCTAATAGATTCTAACACCCCTCTTCAAGCTGGAGCATATAGGTCATATGCACCAAGCTTGTTACATATGTAGTTAATCCGAGGACCCCTTAGTGACTTAGTAAAGATGTCTGCTAGTTGGTCATAGGAATTGACAAAATTAGTAGATATTTCTCCGCACATGACTTTCTCTCTAACAAAGTGACAATCAACTTTAATGTGCTTTGTCCTCTTATGGAATACTGGATTTGAGGCAATATGCACAGCGGCTTGATTATCACATATAAGTGACATATGTGTGACCTTTCCAAACTTTAGTTCTTGAAGCAACTGTTTGAGCCATATAAGCTCCTGACTCGCTATAGGCATAGCTCGATACTCCGCTTCTGCACTAGACTGGGCTACAATATTTTGCTTCTTACTTTTCTAAGAGACAAGGTTATCTCCGACAAATATACAGAATCCAGACGTGGACCTTCTATCTACGGGAGATCCTGCCCAATCTGCATCAGAATATCCTATAACTCGAGTGTGTCCTTTGTCTTCATACAAAAGACCTTTTCCTGGAGCTTTTTTGATGTATTGAACAATGTGAATCACTGCATCCCAATATTCCTTACATAGAGAGTTGAAGAATTGACTTACTACACTCACTGCAAATGAGATATCTGGACAGGTAACAGTGAGGTAGTTCAGCTTCCCTACTAACTAACTGTACCTTTCAGGATCTAGAAGAGGCTCTCCTTGATTTGGCAGAAGCTTGACATTGGGATCCATAGGAGTGTCGACTGGCTTGGAAGTTAACATTCCCGTTTCTTCCAAAATATCCATTGCATACTTCCTTTGAAAAATGATGATTCCATTTTTGGACTGTGCTACTTCTATTCCCAAAAAATATTTGAGTTTGCCAAAATCCTTTGTCTGAAAATGTTTGAAGAGGTGTTGCTTCACTTGTACGATGCCCTGATGGTCACTACCTATGATGACAATGTCATCAACATAAACAACCAAGTAGATACAACCAGTGGGGAGTGGCGATAGAAGACAGAATGGTCAGCCTCACTCCGAGACATGCCAAACTGTTGAATCACAGTAGTGAATCTGATGAACCATGCTCTGGGTGACTGCTTGAGGCCATATAAAGATTTTTGCAATCGACATACAAGACTAGAGGATTACGAGTAGAACATATACCTTTTCGAATGGCAATGAGAATGTCAAATTCAGAGGGCGGAACCAAAAGATGAGGCGAAAGAGGTGGCTTTAAAGGTGAGTCCATGGTGTTGTCAGTGTTCGGTGGCTCCAAAACAAGACGAGTACGACGCTGATATACCTGCAAAGGTGGAGGAAATGGGTGTGGAGGCAATGGAGACGCCTCTGGAGGACAGAAAAGGATCGAACTAAGGGCAGTCGTGGACGGAGAAGACTCGAGTGTAGATGTTCTAGGTTCAAAGAATGGAATGGACTTGAAGAAAGTAACATCAGCAAAAATGAAATACCTGCGAAGAGTAGGGGAATAACACTTGTATCCTTTTTGAGACCGTGGGTACCTGAGAAAAACACATTTATGAGACCGAGGAGAGAGCTTGTCAATGCAAGGATCAAGAGCATGAGCAAAACATGTAGAACTAAAGATCCGAGGGGGCAAAGGATGAAGAGAGTGGTGAGGGTATAGAACTTGATGGGGGATTTTACCTTGTAAAACAGAGGAAGGCAGGTGGTTAATGAGATAATATGCAGTGAGTACTGCATCACTCCAAAATTGATGAGGAACATGAGAGTGGAGAAGAAAAGTCCGAGTAGTCTCAAGTAGATGTCTATTTTTGCGTTCTGCAACTCCATTCTGTTAGGGGGTATGAGGACAAGATGTTTGATGTCACACACCATGGCAGTGCCTGAACAATGGCGGCGGCGCCGGAAAAAAAAAAAAAGGCACCGGTGAATAGTGGGTCCATCGGAAAAAAAAAAAACGGATTAGGGTTGCCTCTCTAGGCTCTGATACCATGTTGAGAGAGAAAATATTGAATCCGTGTGTTTAGGACACAAAGGAGTTATTCCAATTTATAAAGAAGAGTAAATAATTACAAGATATACAGTTACTATATTTATAAGATTCTAATAGATTTTAACAGAAGCAATTAAGAAGAGCTTCCAATGAAAGGCACACATTACAATTGGAAATGAGTTCAAAGGCAGCTTAATAGTCCACTGCACTACTACTACTAGCATGGCACAACTTGAAAAGGGTGACTTGATGATTTTCAGATGAAGATGGACCAAAATGGAGCTCCAAAGCACGGAGAAAGGCATCCCACATCATCAATTGATGGTTGTTAAACATCCACTGATACCAACTAAAGGCAATGCCTTGCATAGTGAACCCCACCATGGTCATACATTGAGTAGGGAGAACATGATAATAATCCAAGTATTGATTGACTTGAAAAATCCAATCAAGAGTAGCGGTACCATAAAAAAGTGGCATATGCATTGATGGAGGTGGCAATGGTGGAGGAGTTGATTCTTTGATGATCGCAAGTAGAGGACGTCATGGCGAGCATCCACTGTAGCTTGCGAAGTAGAGATCTCGAGAAATGGTGCTGAAGCAACTCCAATTTCTTGTGAATGGAAGCAATAACTTATACAGTGACTTTGGCCGGCTTGGGATGCTTAGAGAAAGCAATGAAAGCACTAATGATAAGGACTCAATTAAAATAAAATATTTCTAAATTCCAGTGGAGTCGAAGAGGATATTAGAAAGGAAGGATTCACAAAGATTTTCTTGTTATTTCCATTTTCTGTTCACTGTATGCAATGGAGGTCGTTACACATTGCAGATCTAGTGCCGCATGTCCAATTACAGCAATTAAGGATAAAGACAACTAAGAAAATTAGATTAGCACTGAAAGTCCGAGTCAAGCTGGTCTGCTCACTCTGGTTCCTTGGTCCCCAGTAGTAGTATTCTTAGTAGTATCAGCACTTGGGCCTATGGTGTAATCATTTGGACCCGTATCAATATATATGAAATTGATTAGCATTATTAGATTCTGATTCTAATTGGGTATACGGTTACAAACCTGATTAGCATTATAACATGCTTACGGTGTTGACCTTCTGCAGGATAATGCTACCCTGTGGAGACTGTATTACTATGTTGAAGCTGTTGAGAAGGCCAAAAGTCTTTCTTCTTGTGAAGAGGCCTAGTTTTTGTAATACTTTTCCTGAGCCGTAATTCTAGTTCATTAGAACTCAGATTTACTGTAGTCCCAAGCCAGATTGGGCAGATTTTCAGCATGCATGCCTCTATGTTGCGACAGCAAGGATATCACAGTACAAACGATGTATAGTACTAAAATTCAGATTGTTTTTTGTTCTCATTTTACATGTATATTTTGAGAAATTAGTCCCCAAATATGTGTAAATCAAAATTTGCATCATGTATAGATAGCAAAACGTGATATCTTCGTAGAGAAGAATGACAGTTCTTTAGATTTTCAAACTTCTTACTGGTTTATTTTTTCTTTTCGTTTTGATTTGGTGTCTACAATGCTTAGTTAACATTTTTATCATTGACTGGTTGACGTCTTTCTGACATTAACGCACAAGACTAGAAATTTGATGCTAAGTCCGTTGATTGATATGGGGAGATATGATAGCAAGGTTAATAAAAATTTTAAAATTGGTTTGTGATTGAGATTTATTTCTTTAAAGAAGATCATTTTCTCTGAATATACAGTAATTTCTTGATTGATTTGATTTTTGTTTTTAATTATGAAAACACTATTTTTATTATTTTCAACCATATAGTGACTACTGCTAAGCGTGTTTAATTGCACCCACGGGGTCTTCCTTTTCTGGAATTTTTCTCCTAGGTGTTGGACTGATTTCTGTACATGTATGTATGTGCCTGATGATAGTGCAATTTGTTAATTTAAGGAACTTCTTGAACTTTTTATACAGGATTAAGGCATATGGAGTTCAATTAAGGTCAAAGATTTTTCTTTTTTAACAGATTAATTAAAATAGAATGCCCATAGATAATTTTTTTCACAGGTTTTCTAAATCAAGGAGTGAGACAGAGATTATCTAATGGTTAATCTATACTTAGTCTTAAAGATCAATTAAGAGTTTAAGTAGGTAATCCTATTAGTAATAAACCTTGAGGACTAAATAAGTAGGTTTAGTTAGTTGTCAATCAAAATATTATAGGCTTTTAGGCTCAGTGTCTTCAAACGCTTCCATAAAACTTTTAAGACTACGAAGACCTTTGTATGCATGTAACAGTGTAACAATTATAAATAAGGGTTTGGTGAAATATTTGCACAATACATTCCATTGCATTTCTTGTTGATCTGGTATTAAAATGTTAGAATAAATTAAGGGATAAATAATCTTTTAGTTTCTATATAAGATTTTTTTTTTTGTAATTTAATTTCTGTAGAACAACGTTAGCTCTCTTTTCTACATGGCAAATGACTATTCAACATTGTAGGTGTAAATTGTCTTTTAATCCCTCCATAAGGCTTTTTTTTGTAATTTAGTTCTTGTAGGTAAAATAATTTGTATATCAATTTTTATACAAAAATTTATTTTTAGTTTTGTCCCAGTTATTTCAATGACATTTTCATATTAGTGTTAAGTAATATTTTTTCAATCATCTTTCAAAGAAACTTCATTCAACTTCGTACATTTTCTATTAATGACATCGAATTTTATTATATAAATTATTGACTCTTTGCTTTAAACTCACTTAAGAATCATCCTTAGAAGATTTCATGCCTTAGATTTGTCTTTACATAAAATTTACTTCTAGTAGTTTCATTTTAAATATCACTATTTGTCATATTCTCATAATAATTTTCATTCTTTTTTCTATCATCTTTAAAAAAATTTTTTAAGATAATCAAGTTGTGGTTACAAAAATTGACAATAGTAATGATTTTAAAAATATTTTTGATTTTTTTTAATAAATGTACTAAGATTTTGGAATAATGTTTTTAACTTTGATAATGACTTGAGGACATGGCTAAGATTCGAGAAAGTATGATAATTATGATGAAATATGATAGAGCACATAAGTAGTGATACTAGAGATGGAAATGATGGAGGTGATGTTCACATAAAGACGAATCAAGATTTGAAAACGTATAAAATTAAAACACAAGACTTATTTAAAGAATTTGGAATACTCTTCTTGAAATGATGAGAAAATGTCATTGGACCTTATATGAATTTGTCACCGTAATGATAAGGAAAAAATTAAAAACAAATTTTTGTATAAGGATTGATATATAATTTTTTTTACACAGGGACTAAATTATAAAAAAGAAAGTCTTGTATAGGGACTAAAAAATAATTTAAATCACATTGGATAGTTGTTTGCCATCTATGAGAAAGTTATCATCGCTAATAATGTATCATAATGACTGGGACAAAAATGAATATAAATTTTTGTATATAGATTAATATATAAATTTTTTACCTATAGGGGCAAAATTACAAAAAAAAGGTCTTGCATAGGAACTAAAAGATCATTTATACCATAAATTAATGAGGCTCAAGTTTGACATTTTATTAATTGTTATTTAGAAATTAGTTTATGTTACTATTTATGAACAGTGATATCTTCATTTGATGATTGGTACATATAAAGTTACTAATGGCACATCCTTCCTTTCACTTTTTGATGATTTGGGGTAGGCAACTACACACCTATATTGATGTCATTACTTTTCTATTAGATAGACTTAGGCTTGGTGATAGAGCTCTACTCATTCATATTTCTATTACTATGAGATACATTATCTCTACTCCTAGATCTACATGTAGTTGGGCCTAATGCCCCATAAAAAGTTTGTGGAGTTTGACGATAAGGTCGAAGAAAATGTTTCTTTTAAAGAATTTTTAAATGTGCAAATCTAAGAAAAAATTACTAATTTAATTTATCTAAAAGATGCTATCTACAAACTAATCATGGATATTTATTATATTTTTAAACCAAAAGGTAATATTTTAAGTTTAGAATAACTTCTTGAAAGGTAACATGAAATTTTTATGAAAATATTTTGTTTCTAGCTTAAAGATCAAATTTCAAATTTGATTGCAAATGTTTTTATGTCTAAAAATAGACTATTTGCTTTAAACTTTAAGACCATGAAAGCAAAATGCTTGAAGGCTAGCCTTCAAAATTAATCATGATGTTGGCGTGTGAGATTTGGACATTTCAATTTTGGTGCACTCATGGCATTAGGAGAGGATAAGATAGTGAGAGATGTTTTTCATTAACCATCATAATCAATTGTGTGAAGCATGCAAGAAGAAACTTTCCTAAAGAGTCGAATCAAGAGTAAAAGAGTCTCCATCTTGTTCATATTGACGACATGTGTGGACCATTTTCTAAATAAAAAATCTAAGGCATTAGTAGTTTTTAAACACTTTAAAGCACTTCAGAAAAAAAAAAGTTATTATTAATCAAAGCTCTAAGATCCAATAAATGTGGCGAATTCACATAAAAAAATAATGATTTTTGTAAAAAGTATAGATTCATCATCTTCTAATGGTTCTTAGAACTTGCCAACAAAATAAGGTAGCAAAGAGAAAAAATATAATTATTCTTAATATACCAAGATGCATATTGAAAGCTAAAAATGGTCAAGAAATTTTGTTTTGAAGTTGTTACTTGTGCAATTCATTTGTTCAAGTACTCTCCTATAAGGAATGTCAAGGATTAAACATTGTAAGAAATACAAAATAGAGTGAAGCCAAGAGTTGATCATCTTAGAGTTTTTGATACTCATGTACATGACTAAGGAAGATCTAAACTTGATGATCATAGTGTGAGGTATGTGTTCGTTAGCTATTATATAAACTTAAAAGGCTACAAATTGTATAGCACAAGCAATGACAAAATTGAGTGGATCCATTGAATTTGATGAAGTTTGGAATTAGGAAAAATAAAAAGACACTTGTGATTTATTTCTCATACTTAGAAGGAGATACAAAAAAAAAAAAAGAGGTTAAATGCCAAATGTGTTTTTTACTTAACTACTTAACTTTTTCCGTACTTTAAAGGAGATAAAAAAAAAGGTTAAATGCTAAATGTATTTTTTACTTCACCTCTTTCACTAATTCAAAACCTCATCATCTTACAAAGAGAATTCAAGTGAAAAGACAAGAAAAATGAGAAGTCTTCAAGAATATAATAAAATTGAAATGATAAATGATTTGTTTTGTTTATTTATTGATAATGAACCTTTGAATTTTGATGAGTCTATGAAAAATCAAAGGTGGAAAAAAGCTATGAAAGTAGAGATCAAAGCCCCGAAGAATGACACTCAAGAACTATCAATCTTCCTAAGGGTCATGAAACAATTGGAGTAAAATAGGTGTTCAAGTCTAAAAAAAATGTCAATGCAAAAAGTAGAAAGATACAAAGTAAGGCTCGTTGCTAAAGGTTATAAGCAATAACCTGGAGTTGATTATTATGAAGTGTTTGCACTAGTTACTTGCATGGAGATAATTTGTCTTTTCGTTTCTTTAGCAACTCAAATGAAATGGAAAATTATCCAAATGGATGTTAAATTGGCATTCTTGAATAGCTATTCTGAGGAGGATGTTTATACTGAACAACAAATGGGCTTTGTAGTAAAAGGACAAGAAAAAATGTCTTCAAGTTGAGGAAGGTGTTGTATGGCTTAAAATAAGTACCAAGAGCTTTGAATAGCCACGTTGACAAATACTTTTAAGATAATAGATTTATTTGTTATTAGCATGAATATGCCTTTCATGTTTAATTTTTTTATAATGGTGATATTTTGTTTGTTTGTCTTTATATGGATGACTTTATTTTTATTGCTAATAATATAAATTTATTTTAAGATTTCAAGAAAGTAATTTGTTATAATTTTGAGATAATAGATATGGAACTTATGTTTTACTACTTAGAATTAGAGGTGAAACAAATATAATAATATTGGTATCTCACAATAGAAGTATTAAAAAAAATATTTAAAATATTTGATTGCAATCTTGTGATCACACATATAAAAATGACTTAAAATTATCAAAGTTTGATGATAGAGGATAAATCCAATGGGAAATTTGAAGTACTTAACAAATAAAATACTTGATATTCTTTATGCAATTAGGATTATGACGTTATTTCATAGATATTCCTACACAACTCATTTAAAAGTTGTAGAGAGAATTTTTTTGTTATTTAAAAGGTATAATTAATTTTACATTATTGTATTATCTTTCTATTGACATCAAGCTTGTAAAATTATATAATAATGATTTTGCGAATAATATTGATGAAAGAAAGCGGAAAGAGAATTATTGGATTTATGTTTTTCATGGGTGGTTATGTTTTTACTTGGAATTCTAGAAATAACATATTGTCACACTTTCTATTTGTGGGACTTAATATGTTGCCGCAATTTCTTGCATATGTAATGTTGTTTGGCTTAGAGGATTGTTGAAGGAATTTTATTAAAAAAAGATAGTACCAAAATTCACATTAATATGAAGTTAAAGCTTATCAAGAACTTAGTGTTTCATGAATAAAATAAGTTTATAAATATAATATCATTTATTAGAAAATACATTATCAAAAATGAAATAGAGCAATATATATGAAGACTTAAGATCAAATTATCGATTTTTTTACCAAGTCAAAGATGTTAAAAGATTGAAGTAAAATTTTTTAATTAAAGAAAAATATTAAAAATAATAATTAAAAAATATTGCATAAGTTACAAATCAAATGTTAAGTCACTATTTTAAGACTATAATTTTTTAGTTAAGGACAATGATTTATTTTTTTTTATAACTATTTGATATCTAGGAACATAATAAGACAATTATTTAATATAAATTAACAATCATTACATTACTATTATAAGTATAATATTGGTATATTTTGTATGATAAATAATAAAATTTTGATATTGTATTATTTTTCTCTTCCTATTTTTGCCAATCTAATTATAATTATCATCAAAGACAAATCTATCACTTGAGAGGCTAAAGCACTGTTCTTTAAATGACTAATTTTGTATATTTATAGGATGATTGTGATTCGATCTTTGAGGTAATTACTGATAATTTGCTCAAACCCTCTTAGTTGAACTGAAATGCATTTTTGAGTCTCGGCATTGTCTCTTCAGTAACCCTTCTGATTTTTACTGTTTCTTGTGTTTTTCAAGGTTAGCGCGAGCATCAAGGCCTTCATTCTTGGTGCTAACATCACACTCTTCAATCCTTAACATTGAATTTGAAACCGTGATGTTATTTGCTTGCAGAATATCAGCAAAATGTCAATTCCAATAACCAATTTACTTTAAAAAATTAACGAAAGGAAATCTATAAAAAGTATGAACATAATTTCAATTTCATAAGCGAGAAAACAGCATAGCACATTTTTTTTACCTGCGTATATTAGGCCAATTTCTCTTTCACAACAAGCTCCAATTCAGTCATCATGTATGGGTTTAAAATTCCTGTAAGCAATAACTGCATAAAATGGATCAGACCCTGATAGCAATCCAAGGAGCCTCATGATAAAACCCATTGGTGACATGTTCTCTTGAGCTTCATTACTATTTGGTAGCTTTCGAACTACCTCTGGCTCTGTGAAACCCTCAACGGATTGGAAGTACTGAACCACAAGTTGTACCCTACTATAAGCACTCCCTTCCCTCCATGCACTTATGGCTTTCTCATAAAACATTCTGTTGCTAAAACTCACAATGAACACCCCTCCTGGTTTTAGCAGCCGGAATACCTCTGCAAATACCTGTAAATCTCTTTGTATTAGTGATGTTTTAGTAATATTAATCAACTCAACAATCCAATACACTATTATCTCACTAAAAGAGTAAAGTCAAAACTGAATTCTTTTTAACAGAAAATAAGTAAAATATATAAAAAATTATTAACATACACTACAATTTTTAAAATTATATTTTAAGAAACTGTTTTGAAAAAAAAAATACATTAATAAACGAATTTATCTTTTACTTTTAAAAAGAAAAAATATTTTTAAAAACATTGGAAAAAATTAAAGGTCATGGTATAGCCAACCTTTTCTGGTTGTTGGAGATACTGCACACTAACTGTGCATAACACTGCATCAAAACTGCAGCTCTCGAATTCAAACTGTTGATCCTGGTTGAGATCCTTCACAACAAAGTAATTCAACCGTGGATTCTTTGCAAGCTCTTGTGCATTCAATCCATGCCCAACAACTCGTTTGTACATGACATCACTTGGTAGATGGCTAACCCAAGAGCTCATTATATCAAGAATCTGTGTGTCAGGTCTCAACCTTTCTCTATAAAGATTGGTCAGCGTAGAAATGAAGCCATCATCTACATGGGTCACTAACCGTGGATATGCATAGAATTCCTTATCTGGGTAAATGTTGAGTTTGGTTCTACCTTCTTGGGTGAGAACAAGGCGTTTGACTTTGCCTGATGAGGATTGTTGATTGGTTTTGTAGCTTTCATTTGAAGTGCTAGCAATTTTTATTGGAGTTTTGAGAATAGGTGCAGGAATCGGGTGTAGATTGGTTTGCATAGTTGGAGTCAGAATTTGCTGTTGAGTTTGACTTTGGGTGAAAAATTATACACATGAACATGAGGTCCTCAACAATTATATATATATTATTGTGGATAGCTAACGAATGGTTGTGAATATATAGAGAGCTTTCACACGGTTTTTGAGGCCCAAAATAAAAGTGAAGTGTCTCGGTGGATCCAGCCTTTTATGATCTATTTCCTAATTATATACTACGGGTCCATTTCTTACTCCTCTTTTTCTTTTTTGGTCAAAATTGGGGTCCTTTATTAATGGGAGTAGTAGAAGCAAAGGCTATTTATTTGGGAGTTTTTTTAATTATTATTTATGGAAAATATATTGATTAAAATATTATTTTTATTTGAAATTTCACCTTGATTTTCTCTCTCTTTTCTTTTCATACGTTTATCATCATACCATATTAGATTTTTCTCTCAATTCTAGTTTTATGAATTTTTTTTTCTTTCGATATCATCATCTAGACAATTTATAGCATTTGAGGCCCCGTGTATCAATTTTAATAATGATCTTCGTTTATGAATATACCTAGATTATTTAGACAATTTTAAGAAGTTAAGAATGATATCAAGTAATGTAAAATTAAGAATGATCACGTAATGTAAAAACAATTTTCAACATGTCTTTACATTTAGTAGAATATGTAAAATTTTAAAATTTAAATTACCATTGACTAAGAGTCTAAGATTATAAGTATCTTAGAATAGAGTTTATCGTTAAAAAAAGGGAGAGGAATAAAATAAATATAAATACAATAAAATATTTAATATAAAAAAAGTCACATGAACTTAATTGAATTGAGAAGCATTTATTTATATTTTATAGGACGATTTTTAGTTATAATAGGATTTTATATATATCCACAACTCATAGGAAATCATTTATTATTATTATTATTATTATTATTATTAAAGATAAGTTAGTTTATGGATAAACGATATTTTTATTTTAGTGAATATTTATATTATTTATTATATAGGTATTTATGTTGCACGAAGTTGTATTCATATACATCAAAATCCATTTACATTCTTAGTAATTTAATAAAAGAGCGTTGTGCTCTATACCTATGGAATTTTCATTTTATTATAATTATTATGTCTAGGTTCTACATCTAATATTTAAAAATGCAATGATGATTTCACTAAAAGCTGTAATGGTAGTTTATATTATTTAGTCACTTTTTAAACAATTTATTCAGTTGGCAATATTTTATATTAATTTAATATTTTCGTGTGGAAAGACACATTTTTTCCAATGAAAAGATTTGAGGTTTAAACTTTTTACTTCAAATATTTGGTATAAAGAAGGAGATGTGTGTGATATTAGAAGACAAGGAAGAGGTCATTTTCAAAGCTATTAAAGCTGGCTTTCAATTTCTAACAATGTAAATGAAGAAAGATCGTTATTCTCAGCGATTAGGCATCAGAGCTCCCCATCTACCAGCACCTAATCTAGTGCTTATCATATACTTTCGGTAGTACGATGCCATTTTTATGGTTAAAATTTCATCTTTAAAATTGTCGTATTAAAGTAAAGAGAATAAATGGTCTTTAAAAACTTTGTTGAGCACTCCTTCGAAGACAAGATTATTAATTTTGTAATATACATCTCAATACTACATTTCACTTATACATATTTATTTGGTTATCAAAGGTTAAAATGCTATTAATTATTCGTAAAATTTGGTTGATTATGTATTCACCAATCAGCATAAATGTGAAAATAGTGTCTTTTATGTTACAAAAATCATTTTTAACGTTGTCATGTGATTTGTGAAATAAATTATATTAATTTTATTCACTTTTAAAATTTTGATATACATTTATTGTAAAGTTAGTTTCATCCTTACATATTTATCTCATCAACAACATAAGATTAAAATATGGTTAATTACGATTGATATTGCCAATCATTTAAAATATTTTGTAATCAATCATAATATCTAAGAGTTTTTTAAAATTGTATAAATTGAAGCACTTTATTAAATATGACAACATTAAAGATAATTTTTGAGACATTTAAAAATGTTTGTTTTATAATAATAATATAACAATATTAAATACGATTATGACACAAAAGTTATAAAGAAAGTTAGCTCGTCTAGTCTCACAAAAAGTTAAACATAAAATGGGTTGATTCACTCTATTCCATTTTTTAAGTGTAATAATGATGAGTTAGTAAACTATCAAATCAGTCACAAAGAGTAGAAAAAAAAAGTTGGCAAGGCAATGAAACTCCTGTTTAAAATTAACAAAAAAATACAAATTACAAAATCAATAAAAAGTTATAAAAATATTTAAATAATATATTTATATTAATAAAAATATTTAACTAATAAATAATTATATTTTGTTTTAAAATATAAAAAACCTAAAAGGTTAGTCTGTCTTAAATCACTATTAGCTTATATTTTGACAGAGTAAAACGGAATGAATGAGTTTGGTAAATGTAGAACTTTTAGACCGTTTTGCCATTTTGAGTGTGTTACAGGCTAGCCTATAAAAAAATGTATGACTAAAATATTATTCAGTTCTAGGTTATTATTATTGATCTTGTGACCATAATTGAAAGTAAAAGTCATTAAGTGTACAATAATGATATCATTTTTTAGAATTAAATAGATTGGTGATCTTTATTTATTATATTAAAAATAATTTCAGATATAAAAAAATTCGTACTTCTATGTATATAGTATGAACAAGATTAATTAAAAGTATCTACGTGTTAACCTATTGTTAATCATATATATTTTGTCTACAATATTCGGATAAAATATAGTCTTTGGATGCATGTTACTAAATAATTGATGTTACGAACTTTACAACCAAATATCACTAGCTGAATAATAGTTCGTATTAAAATTTAATGACGTGAACAGTTTAATACATTTCTTTAAATATGACATTAAAAAATAATTTTCATGCAAAAAAGCCACTCTAATTTTCACATGTGTACTAAGTTACGCAATCACTTAACGTCATTTTAACTTTAGTTAACCATATAAATATGTATAAATAAAATAGCATATTTTGTGAAATTTGATACTAAACTTTTCGTCAGGCTCTCTTTTATTATGTTAAATTTCACCTAAGAATATAATTGTGCAAATATTTCTAATCGTACGTTTCAAGAAAAGAATAAATCATATCAAATATGCATTAATATACCATTTTATATTTGACGTTGGGGTAGAATATATCCTATTTAATAACTTATTCAGAAGTAATTATTATTATTATTACTACTACTGCGGTATGTATTATATCGAGTCCAGCTATAACCACGATGAGTTGTGTAAGTTCCGAACTTCAGGGTAAAAAATATTTCTTGAAGAATATTTATGTCACCATTTAAATATTTGAGTTACCAAATAAAATTCTCTATAAAGATTTAAATTATTATCATTCATAGTAAAAATTAAAGTTAAAATAGATGAAGGCAATTTTTTAATTAAAAATTTCCATCAGTAAAATAAATGGAAGCAACTTTAGCGAATTTAGTTCGTTTGATGACAGCCAATAAATTGATCGCGTAGAACCAAAGCAAAATCAAATCAACGTGCATGCAGCGCTACCCACCCGAATGAAGAGAGAACTTCAAAAACAGTTTGACAAAATTTATAAATGTAAAGACGAATAATTATAACATCCCTCAGCAGCAAAGGAGCAAATCTAAAACCCTATAGCTGCCTGTGAAAAAAGTGTCTCATACAGACTATGACATTAAAAGTGAAAACAGGACTCAACACATAACGAAAATTCACCATCGCCGATCAAGAACCCAGTTTTGAAAGCTAAGGTTGCAAGAAAACGGCTGACGCATAAATCTATAACAGGTAAAACCATCTAGACTCTCATGGGATAAAATACTAATAAGGAACTGTTTTCTGTAACCATAAATATAATTATGATCACATGTAATTGCAGAAACACCAAAATGCATTCACTTCTTCTTCTGTGCAGCCTTGGTGACCTTTGCTCCAGTGGGGTCCTTCTTCTCCACATTCTTGATGACTCCGACGGCAACAGTTTGACGCATGTCCCTCACGGCAAAACGACCAAGAGGAGGATACTCTGAGAAAGTTTCAACCACCATGGGCTTGGTGGGAATCATCTTAACAAAACCTGCATCTCCATTTTTCAAGAATTTTGGCTCCTTCTCGAGTTCCTTACCGGATCGCCTGTCAATCTTGGTCACAAGCTCAGCAAACTTGACAGCAATGTGAGAAGTGTGGCAATCAAGAACAGGAGCATAGCCATTTCCAATCTGGCCAGGATGGTTCATTATAATGACTTGGGATGTGAAGTTGGCAGCCTCCTTTGCAGGATCATCCTTAGAGTTTGAGGCTACAAAACCACGCTTGAGATCCTTGACTGCAACATTCTTAACGTTAAATCCCACATTGTCTCCTGGAAGGGCCTCTTGGAGAGCTTCATGGTGCATCTCCACAGACTTAACTTCAGTTGTCAGACCAGTGGGACCAAAAGTCACCACCATACCTGGCTTCAGGATACCAGTTTCAACTCGTCCCACTGGCACAGTTCCAATACCACCAATTTTGTAGACATCCTGCAAGGGAAGCCTCAGAGGCTTGTCTGAGGGTCTCTTAGGCTCATTGATCTGGTCAAGAGCCTCAAGAAGTGTTGGACCCTTGTACCAGTCAAGGTTGGTGGACCTCTCAATCATGTTGTCACCCTCAAAACCAGAGATAGGAACAAATGGAATCTTGTCTGGGTTGTAACCAACTTTCTTCAAGTAGGAAGAAACTTCCTTAACAATTTCATCATATCTGGCCTTGGAGTACTTTGGGGTAGTGGCATCCATCTGTTGACAAATGTTTTGTTACATCAGAAAACAGCTACTAAAAAACAATCAGATTAGCAGCAAAGCATAATACAATCAAAGCCTAGAATTATACCTTGTTGCAGCAACAGATCATTTGCTTGACCCCAAGAGTGAAGGCAAGTAGAGCATGCTCACGGGTCTGACCATCCTTGGAGATACCAGCTTCAAAACCACCAGTTGTGGAATCAATGATAAGGACAGCA